TCATATTCATTATTGTTACCAATAGTTAATAACAGACTAGTGAAAACTCCTCCTGAACTGGTTTTCATATAGAGGCTTTAACAGAAGGAGTAGAGGACCTGTGGCTTACACAGATAAATTTTCACACTGTAACCTTGAATACTCAACTGAAATCTCACCCTAATTCATGCATCATTAGATCAAAAGCCTGAGGAACAACCAAAACACCTGCTATGCTTTTTCCACTTTCTTTTTTTTTTAATTTTTATTGTGATTTGGGTGAAAGTTTACAGAGAAAATTCATTTTTCATACAGCAGTTCATACATATTTTATTTCTTGACATAGACTGCACTTACCCATAACGTAACAGCTTTCTTCCCACTTCCTCCCTGTAGTTACCTCTTCCCTGTGTCCTTTTTTCACTTTTTCCACTTCCCATAGGCTTAAACAAGTTTTAGATGAATGGCTTTTGATAATTTGAATCATTTCAAGGATAGGTTTAAGGACCTTATTAATTCCCTTAACTTGCTTGTGGCAAACTGTCAACTATTAAAGACAATTCATGATTACCAAATTAATCTTTACTGATTATTGGAATCCATTGTAGTAGCAAAATCCCAAATTAAAGAAAGTAGAACTGATGTATAAAGACATTAGATTATATTTAAAGACCAGATTGTTCGGACATGGGTAAAAAATTCCTCCAGAAGGATTTGTTACAAGATTACAAAATGGATTTGTAATATATGAATGCATAAACTGTTGATTCATCTTTAAACTACAGGGATTCTGTTTTTCTTTTCTTTCTTTATTTTTTTTTTAAACTATTCTTAAACTTCTTGACCACATCACAATATATGATATGGTGTAAACCTGAAGTGGTTTATTTAATCTTACTGTTTTAAGCAGCTAAGATGATCTCTGTCTTCTCTGATCTGGGAGCCTGGAAAAACCCAGTTATTATTTCCCTACTACCTCTTCCCAAAATTCCTTGATTTGCTGACATGTTACTAAGATTCCAAGAATCCTCTAAAGAAATAAAAACCACCACTAAAAATGATGATGTTCTGAATTTCCAAATTGTATGTGTGTGTTTTGTTCTCTCTGAATTTATTTTCAGCTAAAAATAAACTCTGTCCTTGAGTGTGTGTACATACCTTATTGAGCAGGCTGTGTTCTCTTGTCATCAAATATAAATATTGAAAGCCTTAAAGACTGTCCTTAAATCTTAAATCAAATTACATTTTGCCAGTATACCAAACATCCCTGGGTGGGTATATTAAAAGCTCTAGAAAGATTGTGCTTTTACTTTTTAGCCAAATGGACATGTTTTATTCAGGATCTTGAGAAAAAAATCCTTATTCAGCTCATTCACACTACTTTTGAGGGGATGTCTTTCCTTCCTAAATTCCAGTTGCTGTAATGGCCCTAAAATGACTTCCTCCTGACCATGCTCACCTCTTAGCTCACCATACTGGCTGCTTTTGCTCCTACCAAGGTTCCCTCCTGCTTAAAGCCTTCTGTGAATTAGAGAATAGTCTCTTCCACCTATCCTGGACTGGAGACAATGCCAGATCCTCCTTGAGGTCCATCATTTCTTCCAGGGGAAAATTACCTGGCCCCTTTCACTCAAATGATGGCTCCGCCATGTATATATCTCTTAATACCATGACCCCTTCTTTGCAGCTGTTATGAAGGATGGCCTTTTACATTTAACTATAGTTTTATCTGTCTTTTTCACTAAGTAATACTGAAGTCATGTTGCTTCTTCCAATGGTGAAGAATATTAAATATAACAAGGACTGCCAGAAAAATGAACAAATCTGTCTTAGAAGAAGTACAACCAGAATGCTCCTTAGAGGCAATGATGGTGAGACTTTGTCTCACATAATTTGGATATGCTATCAGGAGGGAACAGTCCCTGGAAAAGGACATCATGCTTAGTGAACTCAAGGGTCTGTGAAAAAAAGGAACACTCTCAACAAGATGGATTGACACGGTTGCTGCAACAATGGTCTTAAACAGAGCAACAATTGTGAGGATGGTGCAGGACCTGGCAGTATTTCATTCTGTTGTACATAAGGTCACTATGAGTCAAAACCGATGTGACAGCACCTAACAAAAACAATGTGCCCGCCACACAAAGTAGTGAACACAAAGTAGGAGTACACAGAGTAGGTGTGTATCTGTCAAATGAATGCTTAATAAATGAATCATTGTCCAAAACACATTAACACTGGCAGGTGGCCAGAGGACTGAACATGGAACTAACCACAGATCATCTGGTTGTGAACCCTGCCAGCAGTTAGCATTTATACTGGCACAAATTCCTATATAATCTTTGTCTTCTGAAGGATTTATTAAACATTTTGTCACACACACACACATATAAGAGCTTTTGGTTGTTGAAAGCTGCTACATTCCACAGTGATAAACAACCCACCAGCTGCTTTGCAGAAGGAGGATGGGGCAATCTACTTCCATTAAGATTTACTGCCTTGGAAACCCAATGGGGGTTGCTATGAGTCAGAATCGAACAGTGATACATCAGATTTTACTTTGTTTCAATATACTTGTTATTAAAGATGCCCAAGAGTTAAAGGAGTACTCTGCAATATGATTCTGCAGAAAAAGTCACTTTGGCAGAGTAAGATAGGTCCTAAGATAATGCAGGAGGTTGGGAAGAATACCAGGCCCACGTATGCAGATGACAGATCTTGGATGACAAGTCATATTTTCCTTCTGTTGTCTTTCCAGAGATGGTGGAAAAGCAGTGAAAACATTGGATTAAAATGAAATAAGTGTGGAATTCCCTGTGAATTTTGTCTTAGTTCCCTAATGCTGCTGTAACTGAAATACCACAAGTAGATGACTTTAACAAATAGAAATTTATTTTCTCACAGTTTAGGAGGCTAGAAATCCAAATTCAAGGTGCTGGTTCTAGGGAAAGGCTTTCTCTCTGTGTCAGCTCTGGAGGAAGTTCCTTGTCTCTTCTGAGCTTCTACTCCTGGGCCGTCTTCACGTGGCATTGCTTTACTCTATCTCAGCTTCTAGCTTGCCTTTAACCTCTTTTATATCTGAAAAGACATTAACTCAAAATACACCCTATCATAATTTTGTTGCATTAGTATAACAATGACAACCCAATGTTAGATGGGATTATAGACACAGACATAGAGATGAAGATTTACAACACATATTTTGGGGGGATATAATTCAATCCATAACAAGTTTTAATATGAATTGAAACTTTTTTTTACTAATTTGCTACATGATATGATTAAAAAAAAAGAACCAAGTATTGCAGACTGAAGATCTACCTCATATAAGCTATGTAGCATTACGCTTTCTCTTCAATCTTGTGTTTCTTTATATGAAAAATGGAAGCAATGCTGGAAACCTCTGCTGACAAATAAAAGATAACAGGTGTAGACAGCAGGTAGCCCTGCGTCTGGCTCCAGACTGCAGGTTTGCTCTTTCCTGTGCCCCACCTGCTTCCTGGTAAAACTCCAGCTGTTCACATTGGAAGCTTCTACTTTATTTATCGGGACACCTGTGTGATGTAATTATTCTAATTATCTAACTATTCTAATTGTCCTATGATTTGAATCAAGGAAAGAAAAGAGGTCTTTTCTTTCATGCCTCAACAACAAAGGGCCCTAATGCTCATATTTGAAACATATACAAAAGTATATTTTTTTATTGTTATAAAAGTCACACTTGGAAATTGTTTTAGCCTGTGCTTCTACCAGATAACACATTCTCTTTTTCAAACATGAAGAAAGTAAGTATCCTGTTTTTCTGAGATTGTTTCTCTCTCTTTCTTAAACACACACATATATCATTGTCCTCATACCCTCTCCCCTGCCTCAAAAAACATACCCTCATTTCTATACTTCCTCAGAAGTAGAGAATGCAGTTGCTCTCAAAGCCTCTAAGGAATTAACTAGTATCAAAGCTCCAGTTAAATCTCGCCACTGCTTGGTCACAGGATTTTTCATTCTGTCCAAAGCTGATTGAAGGTCTTGTAACACGTCTCTATAGCTGTTTCCGTAGTGAGCACCCCAAGTATACAGAAAATCATAGGCAGGTTTCCACATCATCTATACAGGAAAAAAAAAAAATTAAACTGGGCTTTTTTCCCCTTGCTCCATTCTTTATGCATTGCTTATTGTCATTATATGAATATAAAAATCCATGGCTCAATAGTGTTTCATGATTATAAATGTTACTGAGGTAAACTTTTTACTCTCTGAGAGACTTTCAAGATTAGAGTAATAACTCTTTTAATGTTATATGTATCTATGAAGATTTTTATGGCTACCATTTAATATGATAAGACGTTATATAGTATATTTAACACTGTAAGAAATTTTCTTTAAGCAGTTCTGTAAACAAAGAAAAAAAGTAGATTCGTGATCAATGCAAAATGAGAGAGAAAAGCAATTCTCTAACTAAAAAAATACTTTAACGATACATTTAATGACAAAAGGAAATCTCATTATTCATCATTTCATTATGCTTTCCCTAAGCACCTACCAATACCAATGACGCCATTGTTTCCATAGAAATAAATGTACGTCAATGGGGAATTTTACATACAAGCTGTATGTCATGGTAACCAAGGCAACCAAACTCAGAGAGAATAGAGCTGAAGACAGACCAAATAAGACAAACTGTAAAACACACACACACACATACACACACATGCAGAGCTCATAACGAATTTTCTCCAGGAAACAACAAAATGAACTATGTGCTTATAATTGGAAAATAAACTTTATTACTTGCCACTTATTTGAGATCACTAAACTAATTCTGTTGTGATTCTATCACTTGAGAACTGCAGGAATACAGACTCTGCGCTAAATATTATGCAGAGTTGCCCTCTTAAAATAGAGCCTCCATTAGCAGTAACATCATATGATGAAACGGCTTGGTATATAATTGTTCACCCTCCTCCAATGTCCCCATATACTCCATAATTGAAGTTAAACACAGAAGAATAAAAGACCTATGTAATTAATTTCATTATATTTCTAAATCAATCTACATAAAAGGCTAGGCATCAGGCTTGAAAGATGATTCGATGCTATTTGTCCAAATTGGCATTTGTGGGGAGCCCTGAACACCTTTTGACAAAGCTTGATTCTGCAAGATAGAGAAAGCAGGAAAACAAAGCGGTACCATACCATGGTGTCATTTTTGCAGCCATAGAAACCATCCCAGGTCTTTGTGTATAAACTTTACCCTCACCAACCGGAATATATCTTTTATCACTGATAGAATGTGAATGTAAATGAGTCTTTTTCTATAGATTTATAATTAAATTCAAATCTTGCAAAGTGCTAAGCTATTAGTGGAAGGTGAGTTGAGGTACATTAATAGGGCCATTTTGCTAGGCTCAAGCCTGCCGATCACTGTTTGGATGCAAAGAAGCACTAAACAAGTAGATTATATGGCAGTGAGTAAATCCTAAATATTTGTAAAAGATTAAAAGTCTGATGTACAACTAAACCAGGAAAAAAAAAAAAAAACTCACTGCCATTGAGTCTATTCTGAGTCATAGCGATCCCTCCTTGGGTTTCCGACGTGGTATCTCTATGGCAGTAGATTGCCCAGTTGATGGAACATTATTTTCAGGCATTGTTTAAAATAATGGTATTTACAGCTAAATCTCCTAAGACTGCCCTAAGTTCCACTGTGAATGAGTCTGATGAAAGATGTATTTGAAGATATTTTATGACAAACAGTAACTGACAACATTTCAGTACTAAGATTATGGCATTGTTGACTAGCATAAAGAGTTGCAGAAAATAGACCTCTCTTAAGATTCACAAAAGGGCAATTTTATTGTGGAGATTCAAAATACTTTCATAGAATCCTAATCAAAAGGGTGAATACATAGAACAGAATTTCTGATTCTCATAGACTCCAGACTTCCTGGAGCTATGAAGGCTGAATGAACTCCTGAAACTATTACCTTTAAATAAACTCTAACCAAAAATATCACCTGAAGTCTTCTTAAAACCAAATAATAGTTTAGCTTAACTAAATAATAAAGAATGTCTGTCTTGAGCAGTATACTCTTAAGAACTATCTACATAGGATCAATTGACAACAACAGCTTGAAAGATTAGATAGGAAACAGGGAGCAGTGAATTTATGTTACAGGAGGAGGAACAACTAAGAAAAGGAGGGTGAAAATGGTTGCACAACTCCAAGAATATAGTCAATGTCACTAAATTGTACATGTACAAACTGTTGAATTGGTGTATGTTTTGCTGTGTATATTCTCACCAATAAAAACAAAATAAAGAAGATAATTTAGAAAAATACTTTTATAGTCTGATGAAGTCTAAACTGTCTCACTGACTTTCCTGAGTAGAAAACCTCCACATCACTTATCTTGCTGCAGCATGGTGAATTGCTATGCATAGAAAAGACCAGAGGCACACTCAATTATGAAGCAGCTGCTGGGTGCTGCTGGGTGTGGGAAATACACCCTGGTGGTGGAGCAATAGGCAACAGCAGATTCAGGAGAGGCCCAATGATGCATCTACCCATGGTCTTATGCAGAGGGCAAAGAACCCCTCACATCTGGCAGTTTCTACTGATAGCAGAACAGTGATGCCAGCTCAGAGAAACTTGCAAAGATTGCTGAGTTCTGGATTCTAATCAAGTATTCTGAAGGTGCAAGTGATTTCACAGAATTCCCCTAGGGGTATTGCTTTCAAGTCACTGGAATTCCTTGGAATCTAAATCATAAACCAAAAAAAAAAACAAACTCACTGCCTTCTAATTGGTCCCGACTCATAGCAACTCCTCTTTGGGTTCCTGAGGAGAATCTCTACAGAAGTAGATTGCCCAATCTTTCTTCTGAGGGAGTAGCTGGTGGATTTGAATGGCTAGCTTTCTGGTTAGCAGTCAAATGCCTTAGGCACGATGCCACCAGAGCTTCCATAATTGGCTATAAATAAGTACAGTAGCTTTGGACTGAAAATACCAAAGCACTCGTAAACTTCGTGATTTGCACTAAAATATGAACATCTTTTGTTTGTATCCATTTTAGTTGGAAGCAAATCAAGCCTGGATATGTCTTTAGTGCAAAATTTGATCTGCTATATATAACGTTGGTGGTGGTTCTCAGCACAAATGATAGAAGAGAACTCTTGCAGCATAAAGACAATGAAAAAGTTCAGAAATAATTTGTTTTTAATTAAATAATTACCTCATATATTCTCCAAACCAAAAACCCACTTCCATCAAGTCAATTCCAATTTATAGGAGCTCTGGTAGCAGAGTGGCTAAGACACTTGACTGCTAACCAGAAGGCTGGCGGTTCAAACCCACTAGCCCGTCCTCGGAAGGAAGATGGGGCAATCTACTTCCGTAGTGATACTGCCTCGGAAACCCAAGAAGGGGTCGCTATGAGTCAGGTCTGACTTGACGGCACATAACAACAACAACATCAAGTCAATTCCAATTTATAGCAACCTCAAAGGACAGAGTTGAACTGCCACATAGGGTTCCAAGGCTAAAAATCTTTATGGAAACAGACTGGCTCATCTTTCTCCCACCCAGAGGCTGGTGGGTTCAAACCACTGACCTTTTGGTTAACAGCTCAATGCTTTAAACAAATCATCACCAGAGTTCCCACCACATATATTAGAAGAAAACATATATTAGAAGAGCAGGAGAAAGGGGATTAAAAGACAGGAAGCCAGACAGAGGAACAGTCAGCCACAGGGACCCAGGTGGGGGGGATATGAGAGGTCTCCAACAGCAGGACAAACTTGTCTGTCGGTTTGTCCTACTGTGGTGACATGTAGACGTGAGTTTTGAGGCTGAGCCTCTGG